AAAAGTAATGTTTATTTATTTAATCCCTTAAGCTTTGCTTGAAAGCTGGTGAAGCACCCTCGGGGGGGGGGGGGGAGGAATGATTTTCAATCCCATGACAACGAATTTATTTATCTGACAATTGTTATCACACAAGGCAAAATGCCAGCTGGTGCTATTTATCCGCAAAAAGAGGAACTGCGATGCACGAGCGAAGGTTTTGGATATTCTTTCTCCCTGATTTACAACTCCGTCTTCTCTCACGCCAAAATTTCATTCAACATTTTCTTATAATTCCTGGAATGTAGCTAGAGAAAAAAAATTCGCAGTCGGTAGGACTCGAACCTACGCTCCCAGAGGGAATCTGATTTCTAGTCAGACGCCTTAACCACTCGGCCACGACTGCTCTTCCCTAGTACTTGGATTGGGTCTGCTGAGAACGCCATTTCAAGCAGTAGTTAATTCACTGCCGATTGCCGAGAGTGAGAGAGAGGAAAGGGCCGTCGTCTGACCTTGATCTGCACCTTTTCCCCCTCAACGTTCATGAATATCTCATTTCGCCCGAGTGAACTTCGATTCCGCCCGAGCATCGCTTCCGCTCGAACGCCCTCGAATCTCATTCTCACTCGAGAAATCCGATCGGAATTTATAATGGAGCGTGACCCTGCCGCCCACGCAATTTCAGGCAAAAAAAAATCTGATGGACCGAGGCGATAACGACGTCTTCTCTCCAGGTTTCCCAGAAGACGGAATGAGTTCGTACACGAAGACGATCCAGGTGCACCTGGAACCCTCGGAGGGCACCCTCGGGTTCACCATCCGGGGGGGACCCGGGAAGCCCGGCTCGGACGCCTTCCGCGTCGCCCGCGTCGACGAGGGCGGCCCCGCCTTCAGGTTCGACCTCCTTCCACCCGTGACGTCTCCCGTAACGTCACCCGTGACGTCACCCGTGACGATGGTGTGTTGCAGGGAGGGGAGCGTGCAGGGAGGGGATCGGCTCCTGGCGGTGGACGGGAAGAGCCTCGAGAAGATGAGTCTGAGGGAGGCAAGGGAGGTGCTCAAGGCGGCGGGGAGTAGTGGGCTCTGCGTCGTGCTTTCGCTGGAATACGACATCGCCATTGTTCATGCGGTTAGTTTCTTTTATTTGTTTATTGTATAAATAAATTAAACAAACCACCGTCCTCGTTCATAGAAAATATGAACGGAGAGAAATGTTTGGCACTTTATCGCTTTTGGGTAGATTCGTAAATTAGTGAGGAAAAATACGATATATTCCATGCAGAGTATTCAGAGATGCAATTGCGATTGCATCTCTAAAAGAGATGATAACAGAGATGCAACTGCGATGCAATTGAGATTGCAATTCAGGGTCGCAATCGCAGGTTCGGAGCGCCCAAGGAGCGCTGTTGATCGAGGTCCACCGCACCCCCGGCCGGGACCCCCATCTCGGCCTCGCCTTCACGGCCTCCAAGGATCTCATCCTGATCCATTCGATCCGGCAGGCCAGCATCGCGGAGAGGTAAGGCCTCGACGGCACACGCCCTCGCGCGTGCACGGCTCACGCCCCGTCTCTCGCGCAGGTGCGGCGCCCTGCACGTGGGGGACCAGGTGCTTGGGATCGACGGGAGGAAGGTGTCCGGCATGGGACCCCGCGACGCGGAGGGACTCCTCGGGCACGGGACCAAGCCCTCGGTCCAGCTCGAGATCCTCCCCGCTGCCGCCCTCAGGAACAAAGGTCGTCTTTGCATATTATATATTATTAATAATAATTTCACGCATTATAATTTCATTGTCTGAAAATTACTGCTCTAAAATGATCTCACTCATTTATTTTAAATAACAATTTGGAAGAGTGCCGCTGGAGTTTTTGCAGAAATCTGCGTCGGAAGGATACGAACTTCGTCATTCTGTAAAGATGCTGTCCGTTTTGCTGAATTTTTTTTTGCATAAAATTTGCACACTTTTGACTTTCGGCGTGCAGGGTCGATCGGCTCCCCCTGCCCTTCGTGTCAGGGTCAGGGGACCCTGAAGCGGAAACCCAGGGGGCTCCCGGCTCGGTGCCCTTCCTCGGCTTCCAGCTCCGGCACCGCCTTCATCACCCGGAGGGAGACCTTGACCTTGACCTTGACCATGAGCCCCGGGTACGGGGATTTCGGGCTCACGCTCTCCAGTCCGGGTTTCCATTCGGGTTACCTCACGATTCCGCCCATCATCTCGCACATTGCACCGGGCTCTCCCTCCCAAAGGTACATTTTATATTTAAGTTACACATTTTAAATGAGCTATTATTGTAATATTTAGCAGCTGATGCCCCTCCCTGACGCACATGTAGCTACTTCGAAAATTTCCAAGGTGCGTAATACGTAATACATGCAACGCGTGAGAGCACATTGATATTTTACCAAAACTGTGATTATTGATCTGTTCTTGAGAAGGGAAGGGGGGGGGGGGGGTTGAAACAGGAACGTGCCTTGTTCTTCATTACCTGTGCACTTACTCTGTTGCCAGGCCAAAGACCATCCATGCAGGTAATGGTTGACACGGTGTAATGTCACTCCGAGCTCGAGTACCCACGTGACGACCTGGCAACAGGCATAAAAAGCCCGTCCGCGATCGGAAGCATCACTTAAGAGCGGCGAGAGGCCGATGAGGGGCCGACCCGCCCTCTTTTGGGCGGGGAGGTCGGGTGACATTTGGCAGGGGAGTCGGGCTGACAACCGAGTCGGACTGACGACCGAGTCGGACTGACGACCGAGTCGGACTGAGTCGGGCTGACGACCGAGTCGGACTGAGTCGGGGTCCGACTCGGTCGTGATGTCGGGTGGTTTGATTGAGAAATACTCGAGATGCAGTTGATTCTTTGCCAGGGCGTACACTACTACAGAAAAACCAGTTCATCAAGTACCAAGAGAGTACTATTAAATTGTAAGCAGTCGTGGCCGAGTGGTTAAGGCGTCTGACTAGAAATCAGATTCCCTCTGGGAGCGTAGGTTCGAATCATACCGACTGCTGCAAACTTTTTCTGCTTGTATTGCTTATTGTAATCCTACCGACTGCGTCGGGTTTTTTTTTAGTGTTTTTTCTCTTCCTTCGATGCGATCACAGAAGTGTTTTGAGGAGTTCTGGGCACGATGCGAGAGGAGACAGATTCCTTCCACTTTGAACCGTGGAGAAATGTCTCATATTAAATCAATCTTGCTTGAACCGTCGGCGGACATGTGGGAACACTGTTGTAGCACTTTCAGCATTCACCCTTTTTTTTACGATCGAAGGAATTTTTATTTCTGCTTCATTTCGGCCAGCCTCTTTCGCCTTACTCTATCAATGCTGTCCACAAGAACTTTCAGTTCCGACTGGATATCTTAGGAGAGATCTTCCCTCTCTTCTTCCTCCCTCCACCTCCCCCCCCCTCCCCCCTCCTCCCTCATCCCACCACCTCCCCCCCTCCTCCCTCCTCCCTCCTCCCTCCTCCCTCCACCTCCCTCCCCCCTCCGGGAATGAGTATTCCAGAAAAGAGAAATGATAGAAGTCGCCGATGCTCGATGTTCACGACGATTGAGGTTTCATTCACTCTCACACCATGCCCAGAACTCCTCAAAACACGTTTTGTCATCGCATCGGAGGAAGAAGGAAGCGATAAAACATTTAGGGCCGATTGCATGAACGATGTTTTCCCCGTGTTTTTCGAAAGACATCGGTTAACCGATGTCTAAGGTAAAAAATGGATTGCATGAACGCTATCTTCCTTTAACCATTGTCTAACCGATGTCTAACAGAAGCTGAAAAAGGTGTCGTTTCCAGACAAGGGATGGGGCATGTTTTGCCGATATTTATGCCAGCGTTC